AAACTTGTTATATATGTGCAATATATTTGTTATAATTTTCGAAGAGAATTTGTAAATGATCTCTTTCTCTGAAGTGCATCAACATGTACTACCAGACGTGTTATAACTTTTGATATCAAAAAGAATACCTCACCCACTCTGCAAATGAAACGGGTTGTGCTATCAATGTTACTTTTTTAACAAGAGGCCTCAATTATATCATTAACTAATTCCACATCATAATTTTGGTTTTGCGCTAGCTGAACCCGGATTTCAGACTAGTTAATAAACGCCATTCCATTTATATGTGCCCTCTGCCCTGTGATATTACATGCAATATAAGAATGTAGAGAGCCTGTCTGTTAAGTTCAGAGTTGTAAACATTATTTTATCTTTTCAGGAGCTCAACGAGATTCTGCACAGCATCCGCCTGAAAAATGAAGTCTAGCCTTTGTTTCAAACACAGGAACCCACGCTCCTTCGTACATCTATTATATGAAAACTCAATAAAAAACTTTTGTCATTTGGCGTTTTTTTTTCACTTTGTTATGAAATTATTGTGATAAGGATAGTTGTAATCATAATGGAAAATGAGATACTTTTAGTGTTTGAGGACTTTCAAATTCAATCTGAACTGTAAATAATTTCAATGTTTTTGTGGTTGACGGTTTTATGTAACACCTAAATTAAAAAAAAACAAAAAAAAAAAACAACTCCATGCTGTTTTAGGGCACTGATATAATCTAAAATGGTTTCCAACAACATTTTATAGTTCAGATTAATATAAATTTAAAATCCTGGCTTTTAAAAAAATCACGAGATTTTCTGTAGCATGTGGAACTAATTCGTTTGGATATAATATCTATATCTTCTTATATTGGGAGGGTCCCATTTTGACAGGTTTTGGCATTTGCTATCGTGAACTGTTTTAATTTGGCGGCCTTTTCTGAGTATAAATACTTAATTTGATATTTGAACGTAATAATGAAAATGTGGGGTGAATCTGATGTAAGCTTAAATCAAATTAGTTTTTTGAATGGATACGGCTGAAATTGGCCAAAAATCTCTAAGGGTAAAACGGAACAATTTCTTCAGTTCCAGTTCTCTGAACCAAATGGGAAAAATTACAAGACTCACCCTACCTGTCGACCCTTTTTATGCAATGGACTCGCCCCACCTGTCACCCCTCTATTGCAGTGGACTCGCCCCACCTGTCACCCCTCAAATGTAATGGACTCGCCCCACCTGTCACCCCTCAAATGCAGTGGACTCGCCCCACCTGTCACCCCTCTAATGCAGTGGACTC